TATAAGGCCTACTCTGCCTGGGACTGTCTCTTCAGACTTGGTCTCTTAGGATCATCCACAGATACCTATACTGTAGATAGGTCTTAGTCATCAGGTCTACTCCACTTCCTTGTTGCCTGCTTAGACTCTTGGCACTCTTAGGTGAGCAGACTTAGTCAGCCTGTGTTGCCCTAACAGTTCCCATCTCCCATCTCCCATCTCCCATCTCCCATCTCCTGTCTCCCATCTCCTGTCTCCCATGTCCTGTGTCCTGTTTCTGTGAGTGCTTTATATAGTTAAAGTCCAGGGGTTGTAAATCTTTTGTTCAGTCTATGTAGCTCTGTAGTCAACATACCTCATGTGTGCCATACCTTGCATGCATGTATTTAATATATTATATGTTGAATATTTGGAGATATGGGTTAGAGGTAGGGTTTAAAAAGGGCCAGGGTTAAGTAACCCTCAGCCTCCTAGGGACCCGCACTGCCGCAGTGGAAGCAGATTTAGTTTCACTTCCAATTTTGGACTTAGGGTCCGCATTTACTTCCTTACTCACACGTGGTGCCACGTGAACCACGTGCTTCACTATATAGGATGTGAAGGGGCAATCTGAGCATTTGCCTCCGGAGGGGCATTGTGGGAGCAATATCTCCGAGGAGGGGGCACCGGAGGAATTCCCTCTACACATACACAGAAATGTTGCTCCCACAAAGGTTGGAAAAGGTGCTGCAGCCAGTTATGGCTCCACATTCGGCCAATTAACAGTCTCTTGTCTTTGATGAGGGCGACAAGCATCGACGATCTAGACCTGTCCTTGCAAACATTTCGGACATCGTGAGGTGCTGAGGCGAAAGAGTACTTTTGAGCCGTGCTTGGTGCTTGTTCATGGGCGACCACGATTCCTGCACCAGATCAATATCTGGGTTCATGGAGGTTGAAGCCAGAAGATGAACGAACTGAAGATTCACAGTCACTCGTGACTATCGGTGCACATGCAGACCGATGCGGTATAGTACGACCAACACCTACATCGGCCAGGATCGGACGTGCAGCTGAGTTCTGTCTTTCTATGTCAATGTCATCAGCAGTGACAATCTGTTTGATGAGCAGGCGTTTGTAGAGATACACAGATCAACATATAAGTACAAGTTCGGGGTCCTGGCAGGGACTGGGGCAGAAACAACGAAACAGGAAACACTTCCTTCCGCTCTCTCTTCATTCATACTTCCGAGCATGCAATACGACAGCTACACACACCGGGCCACGCTCAAGACGACCCAACATTATGAGCGTTCGTCTGCGTGATCTGCTTGTTGGTACCAAGTACCACAATTTCTGAACCAACACTGGGTCGCTTTTGCAACTATCCAGCAGATGCCAACGACTGGTCGTCATACCTCTCAACAGCCTGATCTGCTCGGTATTCGCCCGGAAAGGCCACTGACATCGACCTCCAAACAACCGAGTGACCGAATGGGTGGCATTTCTTACCGAATAATAAACGTCTTCGTTTGATTGTGTATGGTGATTGCGAAATGCAATCAGAGATGGTTGCTCCGCGTTGCTTTACCTTTGTCGCGGGTGGAGTCTTTCAACTTCTTTGTCAGTAACCGTGCATACTATTTATTCCTTGGTTGCTGACAGGAATGCAACAGACCTGACTCAGAAGTGTTCCTAGTCCTGGATCGAGAGAGATACAAAAGACATCCATCTCCATGCTACATGTGTGGATCAGGTCTTCAAACCACAAGCTCACTAGCCGATCGGTAAGAATACATGCACGACATGTCCCTACGAGGTTTGAGTGAGGAGTGAGAAGAGAGAAGGTCATGCAAAATCCTGGGGTCATGAAGTAACAGACAACGTCCTCAAGTTACTCTGCGCGGGCATGCGACAGTCGGAATCTCGAACAACAGTCGCCGGTGGACATGTTGTCTCTATCTTGCATGAGGTCGTCCACATCGAGCAACTCCGGGTGTTTTGCGCTGAAACTGTCTTCGTGCCGCTCCAGTACAAGGGGTTTCAACCATGGTATGGATGGAGAACTCGACGGGCTGCAAAGTGAGTCGGCATCGGTAAGCGTCGGTGAACATTCGCTGTCTTTGGAAGGGGTTTGAACGGCGGTAAGTAGCTCATCCCCGTACGCACGTGCTCTGTTCATTGATTCACGCACAACGCAGTTCGGCTCACCGTGCCCGTGGCTAGGTAGGTGCATGCGATAACTGCTCTGATGATCAGGTACTATCTGAGTCCAAACCTGCGAAGTCTCTTACTGTTGAGTCAGATTATCGTTTCTACTGCACCGTTTGTCACATCCTGGATATGGACAAACATACTTTCTGGCACCGGTGTGAACTGTGAGATGACGATTCAAATGCCCAGAACTCGTGAAGACCTGGAAGCAGTATCAAGTCTCGACATTCTTCGGCATTCTACAGCAGCTCGAACGTACTCTGAAGCAGAACGGGCACTCGCTCTTGGAATGGGGAGTCAGCTTGTTGCAATCAGCTATTCGCAGATCCTCCTTGGCTGCAATCTCCTCTCCTGATGTGTCGGTCACGTTGTTGAGGAGAGACGGATGCCGTATCTAGATTTCACTGAAAAGTTGGCCATTCGAAGAAGGAAGATGAGGGGCGGAACCACCTACGTATCTTTGAAGATTCTAGGGATTTTATGTCTTTTGACTGGCGGATCGGATTCAACTCCGCTGTGGTGGGGAGAGCCGCTTGCTTGTGCCCTTATACACCCAGATTCCCATGAATGTTAACCAGTAGGCGGCGAACGTGTGGGTAATCTTCTCTGTACGGACACAACCCCCGTTCGGGACGGATGAACGATACGACTGCGTCATGAGACCTGCCCTGAGGGCCCTCTGCGTTCATCCCTGATGTTTTGAGGTGTTGATAAGTCACTTCCAAAGAGCCAGTGTAGCCTCCGAACCGATGAACAAATGAGATGTGGATTTCCCTCCTTGTCGGTCAACGTCGAGTTGTGCGCGACCAAGATTGCTTTTGCATCATCTCAGTAAACCATCATGAGCTGAGCCAGGATTGAGGAGGCTGGGCTGCCGCCCCAGAAGTTCAAGGTCTAGTTACGTACATGGTTGGGCGCTCTGAATCCGCGTCGTCGCTTCTTGACGGCAGAAAACCGGCTTTGCAAGCTCTTCGCCGATGATGGTAATTGGCTTCGTCGACACCATCTGACGCACTCAGAAGAAGCCGGTTAGAAAACAGCGCACGAAGAACATTCTCTGCAAACCCCATTCGTCCTCCGTGGCATTCGTACGCCCATATGCCGCTAGCGCTGACGTCCTCAGCTCCGACAGGTTCACAACTCGGGATCATTTGTTTTCTTCAAATTTCGTGCATGGTAAGGACAGAATAGCTGACGACTGTCCCGTTTAATTAGACAACAGTCTGCCCCACTGTACCTCGGCGATCCCTCGCATTTAACAAGCACTCCAGTGCAAGTGGATGCGAGAAGCACATCTCTCTTCCCCAAAGAGATGCAATGCTTGCGTGAATGCACACACATGCAAGGGCGAGCCTTTGACAGACATCTGAGCTGCATGTTGTCAGGACTACTAGGCCCGATGGCCCCATTCCTGATTTCGAGTTGACAGAATACTCTCAGCTGACGTCTTCTGAGGCGGAAGGGTCTGGAGTCGTGTCTCTGGCACAGTTCGCTTGTTAGCGCTTGTTAGACCCTGTGGGTAGTATTGTGAAACCACCTAATCCTCCGTATATATGTCTTCATTCACATGACAATGGCATCAATGGTCCAGATGTCGAAGCCAAATGCGAAACACTGTCATGGAAGATAGGGTGTTGGTCGGTTTCTCACGGCATTGTGAGACTTGTGAGACAGTGTGTCGCCGAGTCCGCCGTGGCATCGGCACGGCCGGCCAAGTCAAGGAGAATGCACATCCACATGCTAATGTGCGGTGTGGTAATTCTGACTGGTACAACGCCTTCCCTTTTTGAGCACTAGCGGTCGTATGGAGAGGATCGCCAGTCTCATAAGTAGGTACGGTGTCTGGTTGAACTATTCCTCATTTGGTTTGATCCTTTCTTCATCTAAACAAACAGAACCGGGGCCGAAGTGTCGAAGGACGGCTGGCGGATCAATGAGCCGGCAAGGACATAGTGCGCCTTTTCAAGGTGTGTGCCCATCAAGTTGGTGCTCGTAAACAGTAAAGGGCCTCAATTGCCTTGGCCAGAGTCCGTTCGGGTTCCTTACCGGTCATTCCCGCTGCCCTAACAAGTTCAGGGCATAATCCATGATCCGGCCTCAATACGCGCCGAGAATGCCGACAATAACGAGACATCATATGATGTAGTCAGTGCGCCATCTTCGAAGATAACAGGGAGAAATCGGTATAGTTCTATTGAGTCTGGGGATGCCAATCGTTCAATGAGATCGTTGAATACATGAAGTTGCCTTGCGTGTTCTGTACAGATGAAATATGCGTGTGATGAATCCACTGGAGTTGTTCAAGATTGTGAACCGTAGATGGTGCCAAGATTGCCAAGAGATGTTGCTGTAGTGGTTTGTTGTCTATAAAGCTATTGCGGATGCGGCGGAACAGTTGATCCCGTCTGCTGTGGACTTGCTTGCTCCTGCGGAAAGGATGAGCTAGATCGGGGGGTTGCGGGTATGAAACGCACGTCGCTGCGCAATGTAGTAGATGAAGGCTCACTCTCGCTGCTCCCCGACACCTGACCCAACTCGTGCTCCTCCGGTTCCGGCACTTCGTTCTCTTGTGCCGCCGGCGGGTCGTCTTGTTCCGGCTGTTCGTCCTCCTTCTTCTGCTCGAATTCCCAAGGCAGGACGACGGCGCGATCAATCGCAAGAGGCAGTCCACGGTGCCTTCCCCGAAGCATGACGAGGCAGAGGACAACCTTTGATAAGGGAGAAAAGCTACCCGCCAGGGAGAAATTGTCGTAGGAAACCCCGAGGCTCATTCCGTTTGTCCCGTACGCAGAGACAACTTCGAACACTAAAGGAGAGTATCAGCGGGCGTTGTTCGTTCGCTGTGAATGACGCGTACTGATGGGAAAGATGTCGACAGACGGGTTGGTCGGATCCAAGATCTTGCCCCGCTCGGTGATGCAAATGACCAGCATAGCGAGAAAGATCCACCAGATATCGAAGGCCAACTGCCTTTTGATGTGCCCTATGTGGGAGGCAAGCGTAAGAGAGTGCAACCCGGCCTAGAATTGTAACCGTACATGCAAGGTAAGACTTCCATTCCCCGGTTGGCGCATCGTTCTCATCCATACTCTCATCGTCATAGACGCCCATAGACTTTTCTTCGTACACATTCGTGGACCGCACAGACATAGCTATGGGATAGGCGGAGATATACATCATGGTCATATACAGAAGCCTGCTTTTGCATCAGTATCTCTGTCGGAGAGAGAGAGCAGGACTCACTTGACTGCAGGAGAGAGCAGAGCGAGTTGGACAATAGCGAACCCGGCAGCCCTCACGGAAATCGCTTGGAACAATCCGTCTGTGACGCGAACCCCCACAGGTATTGTTTCAACGTATGGGTTGCCGATATCCAAGAGACCGAAACAGATCCAGTCAATGGAGCTAGCGAATGCATGAGTTCTGGAGCATCATACGTTCGGAAGGGACGCACTTTAGGAGGAGGAGCACCAACGTGAGCAGCCAAGTCTGGGGAGAAGGAAACAGGTATACGAAACAGCGCCGTGGGTGATCCAGGAGGAAACGAAGCGTCTCTGCCATGGGTGTGGTATTGGATGTGAGCTTTGATATAATCCATCTGCCAAACCGTCAGACGGTATCATGAAGGCAGGTCAATACCCACATCATGAGACGAAGACTACAGATCCGGAAGAGGTCAGAGACATCTGCTAAAGAAGATAGATACGCACAAGACAGGCTGCAAGAATTCAGCAATGATGAAACATGAGAATGGAAATACTCACGAAAGCAGTGTTACCACCCAGGATAGCGATGATCATGAAGAATATCATAGCATAGGCTGTCTGGAATGGCACCATCGAAGTGTCTACTCATTCTTAGTCTCCGATTTGGCGAAGAAAGGAGAAATACGCACCGACGAGTGACATGCCAGCATTGGAGAAGGCGGCGAAAGTTTGGAAGCATCCAAACCTGTGTTATGTACAATTGTGAGTTTCGACCCCAAAGTCAGGAGAACACACGTTACCAAACCGGATTGACTGGCCCTTGCTGGGCGTCGAACACGTACGCGTAATTATTATGCAGACCGGCGGTGATCGCACAGGCTGCGAACACAGAAAGGTAGATTAGGAGCATGTACTGGGTATACCGTTCAGCGCTGATCACGACATGCGTTCCAATGCTTACAGATGGGATAAGCCATAGCAGTAATCCCAAAGCGCGGTACTCGACACCACCAAGCTCTTCGAGCTGATCTGATGTTAATCCAAAAAAGTTCGAGTTTCGCCCTACGACAGCCTGGAACGAAAGATAAGTCGATTGGTGCGTAGTTGTCGGAAGCGTTTCCGAAAGCGCGACCGACATTGTTCTCGACAGGGATAGATGCATTTTGGGGAACAACTTCTTGTGCAATCTCGCGATGAGCCGGTTCGGTCCTGGCCACCCTCCAAAGCCCTGGTCACGGTAATCCCTATGGCTCGAGTTGAACGGCTCGCCGGACATGGATGAGCGTCTGCGGGATTGGTAAGAGCGCCCATCGAACGTCGTCGCACGCGAGTTTAGGCGTTCGATAGGTGGCCGGTGCGGTTCGCGGAAGTCGACTGTTTGCGTGCGTGGCATTCGATCGATGTTCGGTTCCCGAATCTCGATGGTCTGACTTCGAGCAAAGTGCGTCTCTGCGAGGGGCATCAGATATGTTTCCTTACAAATGGAAATGAAACGTGTTACCCTGACCAGGGCTCCTCAGAGGTCTCGGTGGCAGATCTTCTTCTTCTGGCTCGATAAAATTCGGTCCTTCAAGATCCTCATCATCCCTGAAATACGACCTATCATATCGATGCGGGAACCCATTCGATGTGCCCGTCATCTGCTGGGGCGAAAGCAGTATCGGCTGGGAGGTGAACCTCAGTCCCGGATCCTCTGCCGTGCGAGTGCGTGTTTTCTCCAGGTTGCTTACGAGCCTCCCACTCGGGTCGACCTTCTGCGGCGCACTCGAAAGCCGCTTGATCATCGCCAGCGAGAGGGGTCCTTTATGCTTCTTCTTGTCTCCCATCCGAGGAGGTGGACGTATAGAGCTCGTACGGGCACGCGCAAAGATGGTGGGGAAACGGTTACGCAGAGCCGTGGTCTCCGCGTTGGTTGTGGCCTGGGTGCGGGACCGACTGAGCCGCACGAGATGCTCAAACTTTTTCATGAAGAACCGTCTGTATCCTACGATAAGCAATCTCGGAAAACAAAACAAACCAAACACGCACCTCCGGACATATACCATCACCCAACTGACTGTCACCAGCTGCCCAAGCAACATCTGCGACATGATAAGGAACTGCTGGAGCGCAGTCGCCGAGCTGACGTTGATGCTCGCCAATCCTGTCGTCGTGATCGCACTATACGACAAGAAAAGCGCGTCGACAAACTCCATGTGATACTCCCCATTAACGGCGAAGATGATGCAGGCCATTATGATCGGTGTGAGGGTGAAGTAGATGGCGTGAATGCGAAAAAAGTTCAAGCTATTGACAAATTTTGTCCAGATGATACGAATCCTGCCTGGAGGGCGTGTTGTATGAGGAGCCATATTGTGTTAGGGGATAGACGTCGTGACAGAATCCTCCCAGAGGAGGATGAGGCAAGAGTAAGGTAGAGGCGGTTGGGGCGTGGTGTCCGGAGGCATTCGGTGCCCGTGTTGTATGAGAAAGCCAAGCGTCCCTTAATAGCCTCATGACGTTTCCTAGTGGCAGTGCTGTAACTGCTTGTTTCCAGTCCGTTGTCCCGTCGCGTTGTTTGATGTATCTGTGCTATTATTGGACGTGGTCTATTTCCCCCTATTAATATTCCATCATGTAGTGTACCAAAACTGGGCGCTTATTGCTCTACTATCGCCTTCGCTGCTGCCGCTGCCTGCAATGACCCCACGACCGCAAGGCACACCAACGGCGATATCGCATACTCCAACTTGTGTCTTCTTTCAGTACTCTGAATGAAGCCTGAGGTCGAGCACTCACAGTCAAAAACCTCGCGATCTGCTGTACGGTCTCCTCCCCTGCACCCGCGACTTCCGCTATGCTCGAGATGTTGATCGCGCTTGGTCCGGCTGGAACGAGCATCAGCACGAACCAGAGCAGCGGTTCCGTGCCCAGGATCGTAGTTCTCGTAGCGAGGGAGTAGATGAGACCGATCGAGAGCCCCGGAATGAGCAGAAAGCGGAGGAAGAGGATGTACGCCAATGGCCAGGAGGAGGGCTTGCCTTCCTTCTGAGAGGAATCGGTGAGCGTGCTGCTCTCTTCGGAAGAGGTGGAGTCTGATTTGACAGGATGGGTCACAGATTCGTACAGCTTGCTGCCGACAACAAACATTTGAAGCCTGCGAATCTGTTAATATCCTCCTCATACAATTGGTCGTGGGGAACGAACGAGCTATACAGGCGTCCGATGTCTTCCAAGCTCGAGGTGACCCAGGCCCTCAGTACCCCTCCCTCCTTCGGAACTGCGAAGAACGCAGTCCTCAGTGCAGGCGTGAGCCCGATCGCTACGGCCAAGATCGTACCGATGAGCGGCGGACTGAATAGTTCCTTTCCTGCCACGAGCGCTTTCTGAACTGGGGGTGGAAGGCGAGCGAACCCCCGAGTGGTCCACAGTGCGCTGCGGAACAAATAACCTTTCAATGCGGCCTGCTGTTGTCCCACTTTTTTGGAGAAGAGGGCTCGCCTCCCCATCCCTCGGGTCGCTTTCCTCTTCATACCCTCTGGAAGCGTCTTCTGCCTCGGCCTCGGCCTCGATATCCTCGATGACCGTCTCCAGTCGTTGCGACACGTCCTCCGCTTGCATCACACTCTCCTCCCACCCCTTCTCGACCAACAACGGCTTCCCCACCGCAAAAGTCAAAACATTATTCACCATCGCATTCAACAAGAGGTATGTCGTCGCAGTGCGTTTCGCCTTCTGAGCGTCGGGTACTATGAGCTCAAGGATGCCTGTGGTGGCGAGGGACTCGATGAGCAGCAGTGGGAGGGCGGTAGTGTTATTGAACGCTGCGGCGAGGAGGGACCAGCGTGGGAGCTGAAGAGGATGTAGCAGTGGGTATGTGAGAAGGAGTGAGATGACAGGGTAGGCGACGGCCCATGCTACGCACTCACTGTTACTAAGTGACAGAATGTGTAGCAGTGGGGTACGCACCAACGATCGGCCACAGCCTGAAGACGGAACTACCCTCTTGCGCAATGTTCTGCCCAATCTCGGTAATGATTAGTGCTGTGCTCCCACTTGACTGTCAGTGAACAGTCCAACAGCAGCAAAACAAGCGAACCAGGCTGGAAGATCTCGATACACAGCTGTGCCACCTCTTTCGCCGTATCCGAGGAGAGCCAGCCCAGGTAGCTAGAGATGACACCATATAGGAGTGTAAGGAGGACGCTAAGCGCTGCTTGTAGGGAAGCGAGGAAGCTCTCTAACAAGCTAGAGAGGACGTACGGGCTGGGCATCTCAGGACGGGATGTGGTTGTATCCTGTTACCGAATCAATAAGTGTTGATCCGGTATAAGTTCCAGGAGGACACCGTCGATGTAAGGCTTGCGACGAGGAATGGCCGTCAAGATCATCGCGCGTCCGACACATATCGATCGGGTGATTTGCCCACCCTTGTGGTCTGTGGGCATGACGTCATAGGGTCCCGATTACCAGAGTAAGTACTGTAGGGCATCGATCTTCAGGAGCGAACAAGGGACGCCCTCCCATCTTCTGGATAAAAAAAGCGGGGTATGTCTTGCCCCCAAATGATGAATATCAACATGTTCCAGCCTCAGCTCCAGCCCCTTCCGTATATAGTAACCCTCTCACTCTCCGCAATCTCATGTCCGTGTTCGCGGGCTTCCTCACCCGTTCACCGCCTACCCACCTGCGACCCCGCAACCGAACGAGTTATAAGTATTATGACTGGACTCGCTTGTCCTTGGCGTCGAGCTTGCACATGGAGAGCGGTGTGATCAACCCCCAAGTTCCTGGGGATGGCTGCTTAGTCAGCCTTTTATTCGGAGAGAGCCAACCCATTGGAGGTAATATGCCCCTTCTTCCCGCCTTGCATGGACGGCCAGTTCCGCCCTCTCTCCAACAGGCAAAAACTGCTCCATAATGGGGTTATGAGGTGATACGTTTCCGGTCGCTTGATTTGCACTTCGGAGCGGGGGACCGGGTTCCGGGCGCTACGGGGCACTCGGAGCTCGGGGCAGATGGTCTGGTTTAATATAAAGCTTGCTGTGATGGAGGTTATGACATACCCTGAAAATATATTTCAGCCATCGTACCTATAACAGCTTCTCTCGTGACTGTTGACCTTTGAATGAGAGATTATGGCAAGCTCTATCAATGCACCGTCCGTGGGAAACGAGAAAGGTCCTTCTGTGCCCGACATGGACACAGACTCCAACATCCTTCCGGAGGATGCCACCGACCCTGTCTACCTGGTGAAAGCTAAGGTGCGTCATCCCGTCCCCGAGGCTGGGACTCGAGACTAGATTAAACGAAGGTCATCAACGACGCATTGCAGGAGATCGGAATGGGGAAATACCAGTGGCATCTGTTTGGCGTCGCTGGCTTCGGATGGATGATGGACAGTAAGTCCCTCCCCCTCTTTAATACGGGTCGCTTCATAACCAAGCAGACATGTGGCCAATAATAACCTCCCTCATCTTCACCCCCGTCGTGAACGAGCTGCACCCTTCGCGCGGGCCGTTCCTCCAGTTGGCGCAAAACGTTGGTCTCCTGGTAGGGGCGTTCTGCTTCGGTCTCGGGTCTGATATATTTGGCCGTCGATGGGCGTTCAATAGCACGCTGTTTATTACCGGAGTGTTTGGACTCGTTGCGGGAAGCGCGCCGAATTTTCCTGCTATTGCTGTGTTTGCGGCGCTTTGGAGCGTGGGAGTAGGGGGTAACCTACCAGTTGACTCGGCCGTATTTCTAGAATGTATGTTCAGAACACTTCATACAGAAGATAAATGAACTGACCTGGATTTGACAGTCATCCCTGGGCGTAATCAGTACCTCCTGACGATCCTCAGCGTGTACTGGGCGTTCGGTCAATTGCTAGCGACACTGATAGCTTGGGCCTTGCTGACCAACTTCTCGTGCCCTGAAGCTGTTGGCTCCTGTCCACGCTCCGAGAATATGGGATGGCGATATTTCATGTTCACCATGTGAGTCTTGTTGCGAAATGGGGTTGGCAGAGGTGAACGTTCGCAGGAGGGGGATCACCCTCGTATGCTTCGTCCTGCGATTCGTCGTCTTCCATCTGCATGAGACCCCCAAGTTCCTCATGTCCCGGGGCCGCGACGATCAAGCTGTTCATGTGATCGAGAAGGTAGCATTGTACAACGGATCCACGACCTCTCTGCGTTCCGAACAGCTCAGATCTCTGAGTGAGAAGCCCGAAGGTCCAGCGCAAGACACAAGCGCAACTGGTGCCGTTCGTCGTCGTTTCGAGAAATTTAACGCCCCCCACGTGCGAGAGTTATTCAAGACGTCCCAAATGGCGTGGAGCACGGGAGTGATCGTCCTCATCTGGGCGCTGATCGGGCTTGCATTCCCGCTATATAACGCCTTCCTCCCATATCTGCTCGCGACACGCGGCGCACAAACGGGGACGAATAGCACGTTACGTACAGGAACGAGGTCATCATCGCTGTGCTGGGTATTCCGGGTGCTCTGACAAGAGGGATGCTAGTCAAGCTGCCCAAGTTTGGAAGGAGGGGAGCGCTGGCCCTGTCGACGGTCCTTACGGGGGTCTTCTTGTTCGCGTCGACGACGGCAAAGACGCAGGACGCATTGCTTGGGTGGAATTGCGCATATAATTTGTATGTTTTCTGCGTCCTGCCTCGCCAGAAGAAGGCTGATGAAAGGGCAGCACGTCGAACGTCATGTATGCGGTGCTTTACGCGTATACAGTGAGTCACTTGCGCGCCCAGTCAAGGAGACGGAAGTGACAACTTTGTAGCCTGAAGTATTTCCAGCAAAGAATCGTGGTACAGGCACGGGGATCGCGGCGACCGCCAACCGGATCTTCGGAGTAATGTCACCCATCGTGGCCAGTTCGTCTACTTTCTTCCTCCGGGAACCACTGCTCATGGGTGTTTCCATAGTGTTCGCGAATCTGAACACGCCCGTACCGGTGTACGTCTCCGGTGCATTGTTCATCTTTGCAGGGTTACTTGTGGTCTTGCTGCCCTAGGAAAAGCCAGCATCTGAGCCATCATTCGGCCTCCAGTATGGTTTCCACTCCAATGGGTTTCTCTGTAGCCATAGCACGACCCCATGCCCTTGTTCCATGCACTGTATCAGCAGTAGAAGAGGTAGTACAGTATTGCCATTGAATAAGAGTAATCGAAGTGGTCAGCGTGACGGCAAGCTGACTGACGCGTTGCGGATGGACGGTTCGGCGAACACAGCCTCTGGATCCATGAACGTCGAAGTGAAGCGCCCACTGTTGTCACACAAAACGACCTGCATCATTCGCTGAACTGATTAGACGGCCATCTCTCTCTCTTTCTTCATCACACAACTCATATCTGACTGCATACATCTCGAACACTTTATCACTCTCTACCAAAAGTCTCCCATGAACCGGACGTTGTGGGTCATCCAAGCCGTCGGACTCCGCCCAACCACGCGTAGGATCACCCTCCTTCCCCTACGCCGGCCACCTACAACCGCACTTCCTAAACTTCACTCTCGCGCACGATTCATCGCCGACACACCGGCATCAAGAGCTAACGCGGGCAAACAGCCCCTCTCCACCCATGCGCTCTCTGGTGCAGGGATACACACGTCCGATGCCGCCCAGCCCGTAGCGAAGAAGGTTGGCCTCACCGGCCGACTCAAGGAGCTCATCAGGACCTATGGATGGTACGCTCTGGGAGTGTATACTATCATCGGTTTCTTCGACTTCTCCGTTGCGTTTGCGCTCATACAAGTGATGGGGAGGGATCGGGTTGCGGATGCAACGGAGTGGCTGAAGGACAAGGTGATGGGCGTGATCGGGGATGTATGGCCTCAGAAAGCACACGAGGAAGGTATGAAGGAAGCGGTGGACGTTGCAAGTGGGGCGGCCAGCACCGAGGCTGCTGCTGCTGCTGCCGGCAGGGGAAACGCGGCGCTGTGGGCGTCCGTCGTTCTCGCGTACGGCATTCACAAGACCGTATTTCTGCCCTTCCGTTTAGGTGTCACCGCTGCGATCCTTCCTAGTCTGGTCAAGTGGTTGCAGGCGCGCGGTTGGGCGGGTATTCAGGGCACGAAGCGTGCGGCGGAGGCGGCACGGGCGAAGATTCAACACCGGAAACACTGAGAGGCAGAATGAACCGCCAGGAGATGGTATACTACAATTGTTAATTTAGCGGATCCAGGTCACGTATGCGAGTCTAGACACCAGCCAAAAAAGTTGTGAATCTATTTGCGATATGAGTCCTCCCACGTCTTTACTTTGACGTTGCTCATGTCTGCCTGTGAGCCAACGGGTACGAGGAAAGGGCTTTGGAGCTCGAACGACCTGCAACAAGCGTCAGTCAATCTCTCACAGCGTCGGGGGCACACTTACGTCTTGGATCGGAACCGATGGATAGGCGGCCGCTCGACTTCGTCTGCGTCCTTCTTGTGTTCCGCCTGTGCATTGGCAAACGATACACGCGTTTCGATCTGGTTGAGACCCTCTTCGTTGGAATTACCTTGGTTAGTGAGCAGGTCGGTGAACATATTCTTCTCCCCGGGCTTGGCTGTGGGCATGAAGAGGTACGCCGCATATCCCAAGGCGCCAAGGATGGTTATGTTCCTCCAGAACGGGGTGAAGAAGGCTAAACAAATGCTGTCAGTACCTTCCTCAGAATATCGGGCGAAGTAACGTACACTCCTCGGTTGGGAGAGCGTCCTCCGCGGGGTTTCCATGATGATCATGCGAGTCGTGCTCGTCCACAATCGACGTGGTAGACTGCTGAACAACGACCCGCTTTGCATTCTCTGGAACCCAACCATCCGGATCGTTTGCCACCCATCTTCGCTGTGCAACTGTTGGTGACAGCCTCGGGAGCGTCCTTGCGGACGGCCGGAGGATGCGTGAGATCATGGTTTTGGGGATGGCGAGAATGGTGATGAGAGCGTCTGAGAACTCTTGCCTGATGACGGCGGGAGCAATTCGGGATCACTGGTGCGTCCTTAAACCACGAATGGAGTGCAGCCTATTTACTATTCTAACGACGAGCAGAGTACTCTATTTGAAATGCGATGGCTGTCCACATTCAGGGTCACATCTCTGTTTCAGCAAGGGCTTAACCGTTTCTCAACGGGGTCGTTCATGTTCACAGTCAGCGTAGATGAAATAGTCACTTCCGGTTAGAATGGTGTAGCATAGTCATTCATAAGATGCCATACTACGTGAACAGCCGTGCAGTCAAATCCGGCACACCGACCGTACAACGGAAGCCCACTATCCCATATAGCAGTCGAACAGGCGTTTATGAACGGGGCTTCTCCTAGAAGGGGCATCAGAAGGGACAAACGGGGTTCAAAGGGAGCAACACACCTTCTTCTCCTTCCACAATGCAAGGAGACCAACACCAGATACCTTCACTACCTTGAAACGTACACCAGGAATATCACCCTTTGCCTTACCCCGGCGACCGAAACCAGAGATGAGGACCTCGTCGTTCTCATCCACGAAGTTCAAGCAACCATCACTGCACATCATTGTCAGATAACACACATACATGGTCGAGAGAAGGGAACTCACCGAGGTACGAAAGCGGTAACCTTCTTGCCGTTTTTGATGAGCTGTACACGCACACACTTGCGGATGGCAGAGTTGGGCTGCTTAGCCTCAACGCCGACCTTTTCGAGTACGATGCCCTTGGCGTGGGAAGAACCACCGGTTGGTGAGGTTTTGTAGATGTTCCCGAGCGCACGCTTCTTGTAGTTCTTGTCCGCCTATAAGAGTACTCTGAGCATTGCAATAATGGGTAGATGGGGGAATGGCACGCACCCAGCGGTTGTCACGCCTGGTATTACGGAGCTTGCGAGCAGCCTGGAGACCGCGAGGCTTGTTGGCTAAAGACATATTGATGAGCGTTCAATCCGGAGGACCTCCCAACGAGGTCTGCATGTCGTCTGTCTGCCCCCCCTCCCCTCAAGACCCCACTCCTTCCTTATATGCCACCCAGATGACAACACCTCTGCCTCTCTCATGGATCCAACCACTCGTCCAAACGACATGCACGACCCCTCAGAGCAGTAAAGATAGATACTCACATCCCATGTCGGTCGGTGTGTCGTCGAGAAGTGAGCGAGCGATTGACGGTCCCTCGACTACTATCTTGCTTCCGCTGCGCCCAAGTTAAAACTGTACAGGACCAACTCGAGCGGCTCAGCCCCCATCTTATGCCTCCGAGTGGCTGGAGCCGGATGCTTTCTAACATCACGTGCCTGCACATGACCAGGGAACGCGACTTGACATCCTGACCAGTCTGTTGAACTGATCGACCGCACAATATTTGGATACCCTCAACGATGTCGGTCGTCGTCTCTACCTCCAGCGGCGTCAAGTACTTCCATGTGTCAGATCTTAACAAGCCTGCTCGTCATTTGGCTGGATGCGCGTTCAACAGTCTTGCTTGTTCATCCGACGACGGCGGTCTGTTTGGGTTGGCGGAGGGAGGACTAAAGCAGCTTGGAGATGACGGGATTATGGACCACAGGAAGGCCTACGGGGTGAGTTATAATAACCAATAGTCTCGGTATATGCGCTCAGAACGTTTCTAGCCCGGTGAAACAGCAGCTGTCACTGCTCTTGCTGCCCGCCAAAAGGGGAATGAGATCCTCTTTGCACAAGGGAGCAAGATCTTTTCCTACGATATCCGGACGAAGCGGGTGACAGGAAGCTCCCTTGAGGTTTGCAACTATATTAGTATCCTTGTGCTGCTAGCTTATCATTATGAAGGGGCACAAGCCGTCTGCCCAGATAACCAAACTGGCTATCAACATTGCAGATTCCAATATTGCCTCCCTAACCTCAACCTCAATTCTTGTTCACTCGCTCACCCCTCCACACACTCGTATCAGCATCAAAGCGCCCTCGGACTCGCCGTTCACGTCACTTGCTTTCTCGAGATATAAGAAGACGACCTTAATGACCGGTCATGCAAATGGCATAGTCAGTGTTTGGGACATCTCAAAGCCAAACGCGCCGCTGCGGCAGAAAGAGGTGGTCAGAGGAGAGGTGATCGACATCAGCTACAGTCCTTACAACAAGCGCTTGTGTGCTATAGCTGGGAGGCAAGGCGATGCCGCGTTGGTGGATCTGGAAGAAGGCGACAAACCGTTCGTGCGACCATATCATGTCGAACGGTATACTGATGTCTTTGACAGGTTTCATAAGACTATTCAAAGTACAACACGCTTAACCTGTATCGCATTTTTGCCTGGTGGTTCTCTTGTCGTCGCCGGCACGCTCGACGGCCAGCTCCGGTTGTATAACCTGCGCAGCTTGAAGGAGCCGCCGACTGAGATCAGAGTCAGCGATGATGGCGGGTCCGTCTTAGCAGTCATGGTTAATGTGAGTATAGTTTGACCGAGTCGCTTCATTGATCTGACAACGCGCCAACAGAACAAGGTCGAGACTACTGCAACAGAAAGTGGGAGCAAGGAGAGCACCCCAAAAGGAATAGCCCCAAAGCCGACACCGCTTGCCGAACACCCGACAAATTTGCCCATCTTATCTGACACTCACGCAGGCGTGCGACGTTCCATGTCTAGCACAGCGACGGAGGACAAGGTCTCGAGGCGTTCTTCGGTCGCTCCAGTCAAAGAATCCCAGAAGCCCATTTCCGCCAGCTTACGGGCATCTATATCTCCACCGCGCATACCAGTTCGCGTTTCTGCGAGTCGCAAATCCGTTGCGAGCACGGCAACACCGAGCAGCCCACACTTGCCGAGTGTCACCAGTAGCCCCCTAGTCCGGACAAAGCCGGTGTCAAGATTAACTGGGGACAGCACTAACAGCACTGCGGCCTCCAGACAGGTTCGGCCAACCGGGGGCTCGGCCGCAAGAAGCGTATCAAATGAATCTCAGAAGGAAGGACGAAACAAACTGCGCCGTAGCACTTCAACTGTTACACCAACCAGCTCCCCGCCCCGCTCAGCGTCACCTACCGTCAAAGGAACACGCCTTCAACCACCCAAAGAATCGACATCTTCAGCGCTCGTTCCTTCCCCTCTGAAGAGAAATTCCACAGGGCCGGCAGCGATGTTACTAAACCAGGCATTGAACCCCCAAGGGTCTGATTTGCTCCGAGCTGCATTTACGAGCGCTATGAGCGACTGGAGGGCAGAATCTTCGCGTGCAACACGTAATTTGCACATGGAGGTGATCAGGAGCGCGCGGCTCCAACAGGTACGTGACGAGAAACGTGCAAGAATCAGGGGTCCATGGATGACTGATGTGTGCCCTAGAATGAGTTTCGGCGAATGATGGAAGAGTACATGGATGAGGTAAGAAGGTTGCGAGAAGAAAACGAGTTGCTTAGGAATGAGAATGAGCGATTGCGGCGAGGGTATTGATATGATTTGTGTACATGTTTTACTTTTGTAAGATGAATTGTTTGTTGTAATTGAAGTTACAATGCACCCCCATTGCCAAGTGAATTGAAATGGGCTGATTCGTCGTCAATAGCCCGTGTGTGAACAGGTGCGAATTTCCCATTCGATCGCGACGCGGAAGCAACCAACATAGCTGGTCATTGCGGTCCCTTCTCTCCTCATCACCTTGTCTGCCCCTCCTCGTCGCGTATTCCCTCTTCCTCGTCGTCTTCTTCCCCTTCTTCGTCCTTCCTCTCTCTCTTGACGACGACCGCAACTCATACGCATACACCTACCCTGCTCTGCTGGACATCAGACTGACAACTCCCAGCATTCCACCCTCGCTTTGCCCTTCTCTCGTCGTCCTCTTTATGTTCTCATAATACCCAAAGTCACTCCTTGCATCGCACCGCATCCACCAATGCCAAATCCGAACTTCTTCCCCTTACCCGATTCATCACGCCCATCGCTTCCAATGCACACCCGACAGCCTACGCGCCAAGGTGGCGGCGGCTCGATCCGACGCGCAAAGACGCTGGTTAAACCAGAGCGGTCTGTGGCACCCGCGCCGCTAATCAACCCCCCCACGATCGTGGGTTCCCAAGCGGTCAAGCTGGTCGATCCCGCAGACTCCTGGGACGCTTGGCGCATCTTCTCCCTCTTAATCACCTTCTGGGCTCCACCCATCTTCCTCAAATGGGCCCGCATATCGGACACTCCGTCCCAGCAGGCCTGGCGAGAAAAGGTGGCCTTGTGCTTTCTTGCGCTCGTCCTGGGCGCGTTTGTGGGGTTCGTCACCATGGGATTAGACAGGGTACTTTGCCCGACCAGCGCGTCCATCGACCAATCGCGATATTCTAAGCTCGGCAGCACCCCAGGCACGCTGGGCGTCGAAGGGTGGGAATACAACATCAGTTCCTCCACGCCACCGGCAAACTTCGACTTTTTTACTATTGCGGCCCAGGAGCCCGGCCAGGATATCACCCCGTACTTCCAGCGCGGCTACGCGAACTTCCCCGCATGCCAGAGTCTCAGTGCGCGGTTCGCCAATATGAACGTCTGCAATGGGACAACCTGCCCGATGGGAGATCCTAGCCAGCCGGCCACTTTCCAGATGTACAATCTCCAGAATACCTCGCTCATAGTCGGGTACGATTGGGACCAGGTTGCCAACCTCACTGACTACATGGTCATCGACGGCGACGTGCTGAATATGCAGCCCTACATGCAGTCCAATCCGAACCCCATCACCGCCGACCCTGTCGATGCAGCTATCCGATCTGTTTTGCGGACCAGGCCGGGCAGTTCAGGTCGAGATGCTACCATGCTGTTCTACTCTCGACCATACCTCAAGAGTGCAGTGCCTTGCCTCCAAGAACGCTACTATGCAGGGAGCATCGACAAGCTTACTGCGGGATGTTTCATCAGCACGCTGTTCCTCTACATCAGTCTCGTTATGATCATGGGTATCGTCCTCACCCGATTCGGAATGGCATGCATCTTCAATTGGTTCATCAGTGCCGAGCTGGTCAAGCCTCCGCGCAACCTTAGCAGGACCGTCATTTCTCCCGCTGTCATGCCAGAAGGTGCAAACGTCACGGTGGACAACGAGATGGGTACCGCACCCTGGACAGCACGTGCGGCCAAGAAGAGCGGGAAGCTCACGAAGCGGTCATCGAAGACGTCCCGGCCCAGCTCACCTAGCCTGCGTGGCCCAGCAGCAGCAGCCGCAGTCGCCGCCGCCCAACCGCTGATCCAGGCAACCCAAATAGGAGCAGAACTCTACACCGTATGCCTCGTGACCTGTTACTCGGAGAATGAACATTCCATCCGTGGCACGCTTGACTCAATCGCCGGTACTCAGTACTCGGACAAGCGCAAGTTGCTCTTTGTCGTCTGCGATGGTATGGTCACCGGTTCTGGGGAGAAGACAAGCACACCAGACATCTGTGTGGGATTATTGGAGGCGGATGAGCGGTTTGGAGACCCGATGCCGCTCTTGTACGGAGCTATCGGAACAGGCGCGAAAAGAGAGAACAGGGCGATGGTGTATGCTGGCCATTACGGTGCGCTTGTTCCCCTATCAAATGACCACGTTATTAATGAATTAATTAGTGTACGGTAAACACCGGACGCCGACTATCATTGTAGTCAAGTGCGGGATGGAAAAGGAAATGAATGGCCCCAAGCCAGGCAACCGTGGCAAACGTGACAGCCAGCTGGTCCTCATGAACTTCTTCCAGCGGGTCACGTACAACGACCGGATGACTCCACTGGACTTCGATATGTTCCGCAAGATCCAGGTGCTCATGGGTGTGACGCCGGACTTCTTCGAATTGTGTCTCATGGTGAGTGCACTATTAACATTCCATTGTGGCAGTAGGCCGACCTTCAGACAGGTTGATGCCGATACCCGCGTGGACACCATGTCGTTGAAGCAGCTCGTCAACTGTATGCACCACGACCGTATGATCATGGGCGTCTGTGGCGAGACCCGAATTGCCAACAAACGGCAGTCTTGGGTCACTATGATCCAGGTCTACGAATATTTCATCTCTCATCATTTGGCTAAGGCCTTCGAGTCGGTTTTCGGTGGTGTTACCTGTCTTCCCGGATGCTTCTCCATGTATCGACTGAAAGCACGCAAGGCGCAAGATGACGACTGGATCCCGCTTTTGTGCAAGCCCGAAATCGTCCGTGATTACAGTCAGAGCGACGTCACAACTCTGCACCAGAAAAACCTGCTTCTCCTTGGAGAAGATCGATTTCTCACCACCATTCTTTTGCGTACCTTCCCCAGCCGCAAAATGATCTTCTGCCCACAAGCAAAGTGTCATACTGTGGCTCCCGATGAGTTTAAAGTTCTTCTTTCTCAACGCCGCCGATGGATCAACTCGACCGTGCACAATCTCATGGAGCTCGTCCGCGTTCGGAATCTCTGTGGCACCTTCTGTTTTTCCATGCAATTTGTGGTTTTCATGGATCTTCTAGGTACAGCTGTGCTGCCAGTTTCTATCTGTCTGACCTACGCCCTTATTGTCAACATGGTCCTCGAGCCCCCGAACTCGTTCGAAAAGGCCATCCCCCTCATGCTCCTGGTCGCGGTCATCGGTCTTCCCGCCATCCTCATCCTCATCACCACCCGCAAATTTATTTACGTCGCATGGATGTTTATATATCTCCTGGCGCTTCCCATTTGGAATTTCGTTCTTCCTGTTTACGCGTTTTGGCACTTCGACGACTTCTCATGGGGTGAAACGAGGTACGTGCTTACTGCTGCTTGGGATGGTCGATGTTAACCTTCATGCAGGAAAGTCGAAGGTGAGCTCAAGTCCCTTGGGCATGGTGGCGGCGTCGCTGGAGCGTATGACGGTACTTCTGTTCCCTTACGTCGGTGGGAGGACTGGGAACGCTCTCGCCTGCGAAAGCTCAGGAGAGACGAACGTCGCCGAAGGGAGTTCGAACGTATGCAGTTCGGCAAGCATTTGGATCCGTTCTCTACTTCTCATTCCATGAATGGCCTCGGCAACGGCTCACCGTTCAGCGGTTCACCGTTCCAGGGCCGCGAAGTGATGGACGATGGCTATGACAGCGCTATGTCTGATACAGTCTCCGTTGTGTCGTCGAACGAGGACGACCACTGGGGCACTCAGATCGGAGGCTACAACGAAAATTCTGCACAATACCCACCTCCTCCCATTACCCTAGGCGCGGACATGGATGATGACTTCCTTCGAGAAGCGAAGACCGTCGGAAAGGATGAGATGGAAGCCATGCTTGAAGAAGGCTTCGACGATCGGCCCACCAACGACTTCAGCCCGGCGTATCGCGTGCCTCCGGTTCCTGCAATGGATTCTAAATACTTCGTGCAGGCGCCACCGGCCGCCCAGCGATATCGCCTTGAAGACAGCCCCGCTTACAGGCCGATGAGGCCGGTTGCGGACTCATCCGCAGTGCGGAGTCAGGGCCATGCCAGACAACGTTCAGGGGCAGCCGGGAAACCCATCAACTACGGTCCTCTGGGACCATTAGACCCCGGAGGAGGGAGGATATGAGGAGCCTGCGACGGCGTGGATCATGTACTTTTTATCGGATGGGATCTCTCCTCGCCAAAGAGCCTTTTTGATTGACTCTGCAGCCATAGCACGTTCCTAGCATATTTGTTACGCCGCATCTTTCGCTCTGCATGCCTCATACCCACTGCAATTCAGCACTCTAGTACCCTTTTCCTTTTCTCTTATTGCTCTACCTACCGTACCAATCTACCAACTAGATACGTTGCAATGGTAACTCTCGTTTCTTCGCGAACCTTAGCAGAGCAGCGAGCCACCCTCGACGTCAATCGTTTTGCCAGTCATGTTGGTGCACTTCATGAGGAAAAGATAGGTCTCTGCGATCTCTTCTGGCTGGGCTGTGTGCTTCACAAGGGAGTGGTCCGCCCACATCTTCATGAGACCTCCCCTCACTTCGGCTGGTAGACCATTCCACAGCTGACAAGCACGTCAGCCTATGTAGTTTCAGCATAGTGCTGGTTCACTAACCTCAGTGTCGACACCACCCGGTGACACGGTGTTCACACTAAGATCGGGTTAACTTTATTTTTCATAGCATCCAGTATTGGAACCTACCGAATCGGTGCCAGTTCGATAGCCAGTCCCCTTGTGATGCTCTCCGTTGCACCAGAGACTGCAGCAGTCATGGCCCACCCTTTGCCAGGGGGCTTCCGCACCTGTGAACCCACAGACATCGTCACAGATGCACCAGAGTTGAAGAGTCCTTTCTGGTAAGCATACTTGGCGGCAATAACAGGGCCAAAGAACCGAATGTCGAACATCGCTTTGTATGCCTCGAGGTCTTGATCCATGAAGTTGGTTTGGAGGGCGTCGCCGGCGGTCCATACCTGACGCGTGTTAGCCCCAGCGCACCATGAGTGATCATGCGAATCACGCACCAGATGGTCAAACTTCCCAACCTTATCCAAGAACACCTCAATCGACTTGGCGTCCTTTGCGTCAACTGTTGACCCCGATATCTTGCCCTCGAAGAGCGAGTTTGCTGCAAGGAGCTTCTTGACCGCCGCATCGACTTTGGCTTGTGTGCTGCTGGAGATGATGACACGGGCTCCGTGTTCCAGCGAGGCTTGAGCAACGGCGCAGCCGATACCAGAGGTCCCGCCAATAATAACGACGAGCTTGTCAACGAGGTGTCGCAGAGATGGAGAGCTTTGGGTCGTAGCGATAGACATAATTGATGTGTTGATCTTGCAATTGAAACTTGAAGAGAAAGGTGGTTCGTGTTCAGCGCATATGCACGAGCAGCCGGCTACTACTTATATCTCCCCTGCACATGTCTCCGATCGTGTCACTGCCCAGCGCTTCGGGCAGTAGCGATAGACATGCTGACTTGCTGATGAAGCTCGGAGACGAAGCTGTTTGTCCGGTGAAACACCTGCGATTGCTTATATATATATCTTGACATTCTGATCCGGCGATCACAGCTGGCCTTCTCAATGCCAGGGGCCTGCGAATGTGAATTAATCCTCTATTCTCACTTCCAGCAAACAAAATGTATGTACACACACGTAAGATCGAAGTGTAAGGGACGCCGTCTCTCGTAATAAAATAACATAAAGCATGCGCTTCGTTCGGGGGATCAACCCGGTCCCCGCATCGGGGATAACTAAGATCTTCATGCATTTGAGGACAAGGCCGCGGCAGTGAGGACATAATACAAGTTGCCGATCCAAGTCATCGCTCATTTATATTGGGATATCCCACTGTTTCACCTGCAGTCCCACCCTTCAAACAAGGCTGTTACTGAGGATTGATCGAGTGAAACCTGTTCGGTAGTCACTGCTGTGGCACGACTGTCACGGTGTTGCCGTCACACTACACATTTGTTATGCCGCATGGTACGCCTTTCGCACCCTTGCAATTCTGCTTCATATTCATATTGCCCTTTCTCTCTGGCACACTGCCGGCCTGCCTACCATCCCAATCCATCTAGATACAATGCAACAACCTCCAATTTCTTCGGGAAACTCAGCAGAGCAACGCTCCACCCTCGACATCGATCGTTTTCCCGGTCATATTGGTGCACTTCATTAGGAATAGATAGGATTCAGCAATCTCATCCGGCGTAGCTGTGTGCTGCACAAGAGAGTGGTCTGCGAACCCCTTCATAAAACCGGCCTTGACGTCGGCTGGCATGTGACCCCAGAGCTGACAAACGCATCAGTTAAATTATATAACACGCGACTCCAACTGCGCGTACCTCAGTGTCGACACCACCGGGCGCTACGGTATTCACGCTGAGATATCGTCAGCCTCACTAGTATACCTCCATATCATAACTCACCGAATCGGTGCCAACTCGACCGCGAGTCCCCTTGTGATACTCTCCACCGCACCCGTGACTGCAGCTATCATCGCCCACCCCTTAGCCGGCTTCCGCACCACAGTGCCCACAGACATCGTCACTGATGCGCCGGGGTTGAAGAGACCCTTCTTATAAGCATATTTGGCGGAGAGAACGGGTCCCCAGAAGCGGACATCGAATGTCGCCTTCTGGGTCTCGAGGTCTTCGTCCATGAAATTGGTCAGGAGGGAATCGCCGGCAGTCCACACCTGAGCAGGAAGCCACGACGATTAAGGTACGATGCAAAACGAGTCGCTCAAAGACGCACCAGATGGTCAAACTTCCCGACCTTGTCCCAGAATGCTTCAACCGACTTGACGTCCTTTGCATTCAAAGTCGACCCGGATACTTTCCCCTCGAAGAGAGGGTTAACGGCAAGGAGTCTCTTGACAGCCGCATCGACCTTGGCTTGCGTGCTGCTGGAAATGATGACACGGGCTCCATGTTCTAGGGAAGCTTGGGCGACGGAGTAGCCGATACCGGAGGTCCCGCCTACCAGGACGACGAGCTTGTCAACAAGATGCCGCAGGGAAGGGGCGCTTTGTGCTGTGGCGATAGACATGATTGATGGGGTGCTTTTACCAACGGTCCCAGAGAGAGCTGAGGGTGGGGAAGTATGGCGTGCTTATTGTTTGTCCAGCCTGGGGACACCTCCAGCAACTTATACCCTGACAAACCGCCAGCGCATCTTCTTGCTCGTGCGATCACAGCGGGCCGTCCGGGTCAACTCCAGATCCGCCCACGCATGTCCACGACATCGTTCTCTCCGACACCTGTACTGAATAAGCAAAATTCATCGAGAAGAAGCAAACCCATACGCACCAAGAAAGGGAGGCATGCCCGGCAAGGACAGACTAAGGGTGAATGTTATCCTACGTCGAATTGATGCGTGGACGGCGTGGGGAGACCGGTCCGCGATTGAAGGGCCCTTCGGCGATAGAACCCCTCATCGGGAGCAAGAATGATCAACATTACATTATGTAACACATTGACTTTTCTTCCAATCCTCACGCTTAGGATAAAGGGTGACAGCTCTTAGGAAAATGAATACAGTTCTTCAACGCAGTTACAGGACAACAAAGTTCATTCAATTCGGGAGGCTCCACAAACTAACACTATTTCTTACAAGAGGAGAGCACCACTCTCCACATACACGGTGCTCCCTGTCATCATGGGGCACTTCATGAGGAATAAGTACGCCTCGGCGCATTCCTCGGGCTGACCGCAATGCTTGAGCGGCGAGGAGTTGATGGCGCTTTGCTTCAGATACTCGACGACTTGCGGACTGGCGGCCTCCCACATCTGTTCACGGATCAGTATTGGATGCAAGAGGAAATCAATAACGATACCTCGGTGTGGACAGAGCCGGGAGCGACGGCATTCACTCTATCAGAGTCGGATGAGTGATAGTAAGACGTAAAACTCGGTCTTCTGACCTGATGGGAGCGACTTCCAGAGCCAATCCACGGGTGAACGAAACGATCGAGCCAGCGCCCGCTGTTCAAAGCATCAGCGCTACCTCGAGAACTGAGATCAGGTCATCGTTCGCTGACCAATAGCCATTGTCCACCCTTTAATCGCCTTCTGTGCGATATACCCGGTCGTGAGTGTCACGCTGCCGCCCTCGTTGAACAGCTTATTATTGAACACATGCTGAACAGCGATCGCAGGTGCGAGCAGACGGAGATCGGGACGGGCAGCACCGGCGACCAGGTCGTCAGTGAGGAAGTTGGGCATGCCGACCGCATCCCCAGCGGTCCAGACCTAAATGAAGACCATAGGCGCTTTTCTCGCTGCAAGCCAGTGCGGGACTTACAAGATGGTCGAACTTGCCAATCTTGTCCATCAGCGCCCGGATCGAATCAGGCTGCGTCGCATCCACGACCAACCCATCGATCTTTCCCGCAAAAGCGTTGTTCGCCTGGATGAGCTTCTGGACTGCCGTTTGGATCTTGGCCTCGTTGCTAGAGGCGATTACGACGATTGCACCTTGTTCGAGAGAGGACTGCGCCACGGCGAAGCCGATCTGCAGGTATAGCATAAGAGAATGAAGCCATAAAAAGGTGATTGGGCTGCATACACCTGACGATCCGCCTACAACGACAATACGTTTGTTGACGAGCTGCCTGAGAGAAGGCGAGGACGGCTCGGTAGCGATAGACATTGGGGAGAGCTTTGAGATGAGACAGAGAGGCGATCTCTTGCTATGTTTCTTGCTATGGGCTTACGATCGACATGTTCACCACCCAAGATTTATATCATTTCGAGGTAAGTGAGACACACGCTCTTTGATCCATGATGCCAGTTTAGCCTTGACGTGGAAGCTCGGCCGCAGGGTGGCCAATGTATACAACGCACGCGTACGATGTAGACGTACGTCAGCATAGAGATCGTTCTCGAGCCAAGCTCACAAGCCCACGCACAGTACCCACACCCAGTCCAAGATCAATAGAACGAGCAGTACACTGATGTTGAAGGTATATTGCAGAGATTGGAGTCCGTGGCCCACGAAGTGACCATTTGGAGCACCCTAGCGCCGTGTGGAAACCTATACCTCCCATGAAGGGAAATGTAGGCCAATGGGAGGGTCGAGATTTAAACTCCGCCAGGTATATCCATGAACAACTGCGGAAATCTGCGCACATATTACTGTCAAAATATGCAGCAACAAAACCCAACTTGAAGGTAGTACTAACAGATCAGACCGGGGTAAGAGCAGCATTGAGGCATTTGGTGATGACGCGTGCCAAAGACGCGTCCGCAAGAAGACGCCAGAAGACAAGAAGCCGCATTTGATGCAGTGCGCCGACGCCCTCTCTGCCACCACCACCACGACCACCACCACTCTCTTCCTCTGCTTCGTGAATGCGTACTGTCGTAAAAAGCAGCCCAAGTCTGATATAGTATATTTGGGTGACTTGAGCTTTGCTGGTCCTAATTCAGCATGGAACTTCACCGTATTCCAGACACGGTGCTCGACAGTAAGCGCAGTCACACCGGGACGGGTGATTCATTCTAATTGTTCAACCAGTTATCGTCGGAAACATCGTCTTCATCTCACCAGCGAGTGTCCCTGCACTTCTCTCATCGTCCGCACGAATTCGATGCTCCACTTTGCGCGCGCTCTTCAGCACGGTGACCATTCCGGATGATACGCGTCACACATTATCCCCGGAGGACGACGCGTACATTCCTCTCGGTGATAAACATGCTAGAGCGTTCCTTGCAGAGCCTGAGATATATGGCGCATATATCAAGACTTTGAAGATCACCGACCCTGTCATCCTCCACAACGAGAATTGCTCTAACAATAACCTCTTCCTCTTCACAGGAGGGACAAGAAAAGAACCCACCGGTCTGCTGACTCCAGTCCCAATCTCTACGCATACTATAGACCTGTGGCTGCGATGTATACCTAGCCTTCAGAACTTCATCTGGTGCTCCACAAGCCTTCCCCCAGATGGCATCTGCGAAACCCTCGGGCTTCATAGCAAAATGCTCCGCTGCTTCGCTTATGAACCTGCTTCATCCCTTCTGGTTACTCCTGTTGAGAAGGGCGTCGTAAGTAACACCCGAAATGGAGTTGCTAAATGGTTTCGTATCACCTTCCGTACTTGGTTTGCCGAGTTGCTCATCCACATTACCAGGGATGCAGTGTCACTCCTTCATCTCTATCAACTTCCCCAATTACGAACCATATCTGTATCTCGACTTTCACAAAGTGGTACACGAGCGTTATCACACTTATTACGATTATGCTCCGCGTCAGAGTGTACAGATGCTCATGCACACGATGATACTGGTACTCACAAACTCAGCATTGACGTTGTCTGGTTTGACGAAGAGCTATGCGATGCTATTGCAGGACTCGAACGACTCACGTCTCTCACAATCGGAACTTCTGGAACAACCCTGAGGGATCGAGGTCTACAGAGACTTATCGGCGGCTGCCGTTCTCTACAGCACCTTTCTCTGCGAGATGTCGAAGGTCGTATCTCAAGATCGTTCTGGTCATCCGTAATCCTCCCTCCATCACTGCGATCGTTCGTCATATCCATGTCTGAATCCGGGCCACATCATTCGTGGACTGCTGATCATCTTTATTCTCTCGCGAACCTCTCTCTATCTCACCTTGAAAGTATTCGTATCAAGCGCGTTCTCAATCCCATAATCGATCTTGGTTTCGATGCACCCGTTGATGACGTTGGTCGTTGGCCTGGGACTCTTATACCCAGCGAACTTGCCGAGTCGCTCAAAGGTAAAATCCGAGTGTTAGACTGTGACTGGTGGCTCTGGAGCCTTGGCGATCTGCGAACTGTGCTCGACCGCTGCCCCGATATGGAAGTGATTAGGATTGGACTCGATGTGCCCTTCACGAAGATATTCAGCCTTACCTCTTGCTTGTCTGCTCTGCGAAATCTGCGCGCGATCTCTCTCTGTGTCCCTGCTGAGCATGCACCTCAGAGCCCAATCCCCAAAGATGTGCCAATCTGGTGTCCTCCTTCTCCGGTCACGCCAGTGATTCCCCATCTGCCACCTACACCCTTGTCTTCTCCCGTTAAGCGGGCTACATATGCCACATATCGCGTTTCTGAGTCACCTACACCGCCTATGGAGACGGCTTGTACAGGAATGACCGATCCCGCTCTTCCTTCATTACGAGATATCAAAAAACTTGCGAAGAAGTGTCAGAAACTGGAAATACTTGGCGAGTGTATGCTCCTGTTTTGACAGGCCGTATGCTGACAACCTAGATAGAGTGGTACGGTCACGGAGCACGTGGTACCTGGACGATCGACAGAGAGCCACTTTTTAAAGTCAACTTTCTGGAGCCAACCGAGCCTGACCATGTGATCTCGAATCGGATCCGATGGGAGCAATCAGTTGCAGCGGCAGGTCCGAAGCCAGAGCTTCGGGATAATCACTCATGGATCGAGAGCGACTGGCACCGGGAAGAGATAGAGAAAGAGCGAACGCGCAGGTTTGAGAAGCAGCAAGAAGTCGAGCGAGAGAAACAGCGTCAGCTGGAAAAGGAGGAGAGGAAGCGCGAGCTGGAGAAGCTGAAGAGCCCCTCTGTGCCCATTTCGCCCGCGCTGCCCGTATCTCCTACTTCGGCGATTGCTCCGACCGAAGACGCTCACCCGTTTCCTTTGCCGGCGGCAACACGGTTGTCAAAACAGAAACCTATCCAGCCGATTAAAGAAGCTACGAACCACGGACCTGCGATACCGAGCACCTCAAGGACCCGGACATCAGCATCCGCCAGCAATGTGAAACGTGGTGGTGGTAGAGGCCGTGGATCAGGATGGTCGCACAGTGCCCGTGCTGAAAAGCCGAGTGCTGAAGCACCTTCGGGCCGTGCTCGTCGCTCTTCGGCCGGAGCGAGTCGTGGAGGTGGACGAGGCAGAGGAAGGTCTATAACTAGAGCCACCGCAGTCCGAGTTGGGCTTGTCCTTTGACACGCCTGCTGCCGTGTTTACGCTCTTTCATTCAACAATACGCCGCTCTACATGTATGAAAATTCGCAGTGATAACCGAGTAATAATCCCAATGTCCCAATCAACCTCTATACCTGTTACTACTCTCGTTCCAGACAAAGTTTCTAGAAATGTGTGACACGAATAACCCTCAGAGCAGACTTAAGCATATGCGCGATATGTGACAGATGCAGGAGATGCCCGCGTTCCTTACGCGCATATGCGAAGGACCAGACAAGGCAGCCCGCGAGTACACAAGCGACAGAGACGATTGCCGTCCAGCGAAATTCTGTCGGAGAGGAGAGGACCATGACGAGCACATACTGTCGTTCCCAATTGGTCATGATCCTCGCCAATGCGAACCTGACGACGCACCTTGGCCAAATCACCCACGCTCTGCATCGAGAACTGTAGCGCGGTGAGGGCGTTCCTCCTTGGATGATCCCTAAGCTTATCCTGCAATATCTGCAGCTGAGACAGATCGAACGCCCAGAGCCCCGGGCGGCTTAGGGCCATCCCTCCGAAAAGCAGGGCGCTGTTCCATACATTGCCTGCACTGCTGGAGCTGGATGGGGAGGTGGAGAGGGAAGGAGGGAGGAAAAAGCTCAGGAGAACGGGGATGAGGGTGAGGAATTCGGACCAGATTGACCAGCTGCCGGCGCGGACGGGGCCGATCCATCGCGTAAGGAGTGGTTGGATGACGGTGCCTAGCAGTCTGGGTCAGGGTTAGTTGTGGCCTGGAGATGGATCGGAGGCGGGAGAGGACGTACCCCATTACAACGCATAGACCTCGCATGCCGGCGATTAGAGGGTTGGAGTACCCGCGCCAAACGACGTACGAGAGGAAAGTCGAGTCGAACGCCAGCGTCGTCATGTAGAGCAAGGAGATAGACACAGCGGCTGCAGCGTATAAGCATGAGCAGGTTCATGAACACTGGACATACTCGGAAACACCGGTGTACGTTGGAAGTCTTTCCAGTCAATGAGCAGCTGCTTGAGGGCTCTGCGCAGCGCGCTGATGCTCCAGCGGGTGCTAGGTGGAGTTGCTTGAGCCTGAATGGCCAACCGCTTCGCTTGCTCTGACACCAACGCGGGGAACTCGTTGTGCACAGTTTGGATCCATACGAACTCGAAGAACATCGTTACGAAGCTAGCTGCGCTTTAGCCTCTTTCGAGGTATGTTGATTGGTTAGAGGCGCTTACCTGATACCCATAAGTACCATTATGCTGACAGAGTTACTCTGGAGAGTGAGGAAGGAGACGAACAGCGGAGCAAGAAGCTTGCATAGCAGGTCGATCCGGCGTAGGAAGGCATTCAGCCGTGTCAGGCTGGCGGGAGAGCCGGAGGAGATGGTGGTCACCCTGCTTTGGGCTCAGGTAGGCAGTTCCGAGGTCACTGTGTACGCACCAGTCTCGCTCGATGGCAACGTTTATCCCGACTGTAGCAAGGCGAAGAACACATCCCAACAGACACACGAACACGAACAGCGCTCTCACTCCTGCGTCGCCACCCGCTCCGAGGCCCCGACTAGCCTGGCTCTGCAACTTCTCAAACAAGACCAGCAGCAATGCATAAGCCACCAAGTTGCTCAGTTTCTGTGCGAGGATGAAGGTGCGCACAGCGCGGAGGCGAGGAGTACGGTCGACCCAGCTTCCGATGGCGTTGGAGAGGAGGATGGCGGAGCCTGTGGTGAGAAAACCGAAGAAGGATGAGGGGAAGAGTGTCGAGGGGAAAAGGGATATGAGGTATAAGGGGACAGCGAATTCGAGTGTTCGATCTGACCACGAGCTGGAGTAAATGACGTCAGAACTAATATTAATGACTCTGATAATATGATCTATTACACACCTGGATAGATGAGACGCACTCAATAGCAAGATTGAACTGAAGGAGACCGTTGGCGCTGCGCTCTCAAGCTCTTCCACCTGCACAGGCGGGACATCGTCATCCTTTCCAGTAGGCAGCTCGTGAAGAGCATACGATTGCCCGGGCTCGCCCTGCTGCTGCGCCGCCGTCAATTCGACATTGATCATCTCCGTGGTTGACATGACAATCACTATCTTGACGTTGCCATGCTGGCCATGATAATGGATGTTATTGTCAGACCCTGGCATACCTATATGTACCCTCCCGGTACCGTCCTAGTCATCCGTCGTTATATCATGACCGCTAGGTCAACCTTATCTGTTATCCTCCTAACCACGGAATTTACCTGTCATTTTCAGTCTTCTAGGATGTCCTACAAAGCTACCTGGACGCGTGTCCCAACGCCCGAAGGAGCGCTTCCCGAACTCACACGTTCCTCCCACTGCATCCACGCGCAGGACGATACCGTCTCCATCTTCGCCGGCGAACTCAAGCCGCGCGAGCCCGTCCCTTCCCCCATTCAGTACGTCTCCCTCTCCAGCGGCTCGCTCTCCGCCATCCCCTCAGGCACGGAAGGTGTCGAACCGTCCCCGCGTGTAGGAGCCACCTGGACTCAGCTGGGCGATGCGCTCTACCTCTTCGGGGGGAGAGGCGGGGTGGACATGAACCCCCTCGAGCCAGAGCTGTGGAAATTCGACTTGAGCAAGCAGGTGTGGGAACAGGTGAAAGATGTGCAAGGTTAGGTGCCAGACGGGAGGAGCTATCATGCTGCTGCTTCCACCGGCGTAGGCTCGTCTTCTTCATGTTATATCACAGCTGATGCATGACACGCAGGGGGACTTGTACATCCACGCTGGCTGTCCAGCCTCAGGCCGCCTCTCCTCCCTCGATATATTCAATCCCTGCAGTGGTGCCTGGAGCTCCCTAGGCCCAGCCCCGGGTCCCCCACGGGGTGGGACAGTTCTCGCCCCCAGCGTACTGGACAATAAGCCCGTGCTACTCCGATTCGGTGGATTCGGCGGACCAGAGTTTGGAGAACTCGCCGATCTCGCGGTATATGATGTCGCCTCCAACAGCTGGAGCAACATACCCCAAGTAGTGGGAAAACATTGGCCTCAAGCTCGGAGTGTGCATGGGTTTCTCGCACTCTCCGGTGAGAGGGAGAAAGCGATCTTATTCATGGGTGAGGGTAAGCCCGCGCCTGCGCATCTTGGACATGCGGGCGCGGGCAACTTCCTCAGTGATGTGTGGGTGTTGACTTACACTGCTGAGGGGTGGGGATGGGAAGAGGCGATCGCGCATGAGAAGCCACAGGGAAGGGGTTGGCTCGCTTTTGACTTGCTTGCGGAGGATCCTGGGAAGTGGAAGGCCGTGATCAGTGGCGGCTTGAATGAGAAAAACGAGAGGATGGGAGATTTATGGGTACTTGAAGTCGTTCGCGAACCGGGCATTTGAAGGAGAGTGTATTTTGGGCTCATTGAGATACGCGGCAGGCGTAGTAGTCATGGACTGTGTCCATTCAGTCAATGCGGAAAGAAAGAAAACTCCATCACTTGGACTCGTCTGCGGTTATCGTTTCCTTCGATGGCGGAAAGAAGTACAAGGCGAGGTCGTCGTCGCTAGTCTGCTTAATACAGCATTTGCCGAGTCGCTCAGCAAGTCTGACTGCGAGTATATGCTTGCACTATTCATCCGATTAGCGCATATAAACGTATTCTAAGAGAACAGATCACCATAAGCTGAGTATCGGAAAGCAGAACGGAATATACGAAGGCAGGACACGTGCACGAGGCAGAGAAGGCAGACATCAGGTGCGGGTGCACAGTATATGTGTCTTCTTGGCCTTTCTTTCCACCCAGCACACGGTAGAATGTTCGTCCATACGGCATCACTAATTTAATCACTGGAAATCCTGTTCAGAAATATATTCAGACGCATATAATAGTACCCGACCTCGCCATTTGTCGATGATATCAAGCGCAGCGACGCATGTGTTCTGGAATACAAGGTGAAGGGACTTGATCTGTTTATCCGACACTGTGTCTTGCGTCAGCTATGAAAATTTGCTGCTGGAAACCTCACATTGTCCAGGCTGGATAGAATCAAACAAAGACTCAGCGATCTTGACGAGCTCTACGTGAGGCATGGTCGACGCGATCAAGACAACGCATGACGGAACGTTTTATGGAAACGCGGAGCGGACAGCTATATTTCCCCTGCTGCTGACACCTTAAGGAAGCTGAACAACGTGCCTCAGCATATTTTTATCAGGGGTGGAGACTATAAACATCAATGTGTAGTTTTCCCAAAAATGACTTCCAAGTGAGTGCATGGCAAGAACCCCTTCATTGATGCCACGTGGGCATCCATTTTGGCTCTTTTGCCTCCGTCAACTTGAAGGACTGTATCCGAGTCAGGAGCGCTCACTCCATCCCCATATAATTGCAAGACTATCTTCCCACCCATGTTCGTCTATTGTAGCCTCTCCGCTCTTTTTGCCTAGCTCTTAAGCTTACGATGCCCCCACTTGCTTGTGACATGGATGAAGCTGTAGCTTTGCACCGTTCGGGGCCCAGCGACAGTGGGGACCGAAACCCATCCAGCCCGAAGACGGGGAAGGCTGATCCGGTGAAAGGGGGAGAGGCGGACAGCTCCCATTCAGGATCTCCTCCCAGCTCCTCGACCTATGCCACGATAAATTCTTCTAAGGTGCACCTCTCAGATACCACAGCTGGTGCTGGGACCCCTACCAAGGTCGATAAACTACGGGGCAGTCTCGACGATAGCAAATTGGAAGAACCGTCCAAGTCCGTCGCTTTGCCCGCCTTGCCCGTGCCTGTTGAATGGCTTCATTCCCTGGCAAACACCGATGTTCCGATCGCCTCAATGTGGTTTTATTCACCGGTTGATCTCTTGGTTTTTACTGCTGACAACCACACGGTTGCCTGGGCATATGACCCTGCTTCCGCCGAGTACTGAAAAGCAAATGGAAGACTCACCCTTGCCTAATGGCCCAATCTGGATGTTCTCCACTGGGCGCAATGGGCTTCTACGACCAGACAGGTCTTCGCGAGATCCAGATCTCTGAAAATCGGGCCCCCCCCCTCGCTTCCGTTCCCTTGGGCATCTCGCAATGTGGCGTTTCCATCAGCACGGGATCTGTTCAGAAAAATGGTTCCACAGAAATGCTGGCAGGAAATCACCTATGGGGCATATTCCGGTATTTGGATGGATTGCCTTCCCTGCATGCTCGCCGACTCTCGGACCAGAAGGTCTTCACCTTGGGTGGGATAGGTTCCGTATGTATAGCCAGCCAGTATTCGGGTAAAGCTAACGGTCCATTCATCTAGTTGGAGTACAGGAAAGTCGACGCGTGGTTGCTTGGCGACACGCTTGTGGTCGTCAACTAAGATTATGCTGCATTTTGATTTCTACACAGAGCTAGATGAACTAGCAAGCTTGGATGAAGAACGTCCTATCTCCCCAACATCTCATACCGAAATAGATGTTCCCTTCTATGAAGCCACGTTAACGTTTGCGGTCGGCCATCCTATCATTTCCATCAGGATGGACGGATACTTTGCAATTTATGGCCTTCAGTGGGAACGTTCAGAAGTTGAAGGGGCGTCTAGACCGACTGTAATCCTATGTCGGCGGTGGACAATACAGACCTGCTCCGAAACAGACGGGCGCCAGGAAGCCGATGAACATTATGTCACCGCCTTTTGTATGGGTGATGAAGGTACGTCCTTCTACCTCGAGCATCAGAACACGACGCCAAAATCGTCCGCTGTGCGGATGGCTCGGTGCGAATCGGGGTTGCATGAGCTGGAAGGCCCCATTTTCACTCCGCGAGGAGACTCGGTCATCGTGCTTGAATCGTCTGGCGGCGATCTGTTACGGCATATAGATTATCTCTCCTACTGGCGCGGCAGCCTCGTCTTGGGCCGCAAGCTCTCCTACCTGTGGTTCCGGATTCCAATCTCCGATCCGAAGAGAGGATGTGGTCACCCTTCTAAGGTACTCGATCCGCCAGACACCCAACATCCACAACCTGAAGAACTTGCCAGTAATGCTCACTTTGTGAGCATATGCCACCTTATTCTGCTCCTAACTCATTCTTACCTGTCCAGCTCGCGGAATGGCGTTCCAGACATGAACCTGCCTTTCTCTCCGAAAGCGCCCGCATCATGTTGCCAGTCAACCCAGATGACGTCCCCGAAGGATATATATGGGGAACCGCACTGGAGGAATATACGAACGAGAGGATAGCAGTGCCCATGGGAGACAATTGGTATATGAAGTTTGGAGCAGGAATAACCGCACCGGCTCAGCGCATCCTCGTTTGTAAGACAGTCGATCGGTTTTCCACCATATTCCGCATCGAGTTTCACAAAAAAGCATCATTCTTCCGGCTGGATAGGTATTACGATGACCCGGGGTTGCACGGCAACGTCGACCTGCGGTACTGGAACCAGGAAAAATGGCAAGATTGTATCCGTGACACCGGCGCCGGCTCATCCGATCGCTCAATTGTGGGCTTTGGATTTTGACCGCATGTACGCCGAACGTGCTGCAGAAGAAGATCGACGTACACTTTTGTCGCTACTCCGGCAGAAAGACATGGGGAAGGTGTCTTTAGATGTCCGCCATGCGTGGAACAGGTTGTGTTACGCACCTCCAACTGGGGTAACCAGCCATTCTTATGCCTGAAGCACTGCGGCACCAATGACACTATTCGATGTATCACACATACGCTAGTACCACAGGAATGCTGTACTATGTATCTATAGCCGGAATATGCAGCATACGAGTTGTCCAGCTCTAGCCCCTTTCTTAAGCCATTTCGGTGAATATCTGATAATCCGGCCCCCATAGCCTGCGTGGGTGTAGCTTTCTGCACAGACGGTGGGACACGGCGGTACGCGTCCTGTCCTTTGGGTGCTCAGAGATTGGTCGCCGCCAGGGGGCCACTGCTGTGAATGGGTTGGGTTTCCACATTGCTTGGCAATGGTTACGTAGCCAAGTTGTTGCTCAGGGTCAAGCGCGCACTGCTCGCGCGACAACTTTCGAAGCACCCATAACGGTTTAGCAAGTCAAGCGCTTTCCGAACGCACGCTGTGAATCTGCTTTCCTTCGCCATGGCTCCTTATCTGCTCCAGTTTGCCCAGGTGCACTTCGAGTTCCGAATACCGGAACTAGAATCAGTTGCGATACTGTACGGTTTCCGTCTGGGACTGCCAGAGGCGCCGGAAGAACGGGATCCTCTACGACCGTTTATGATCGTCGACCTTGATTCGGAAGAGCACGCGCGCTTATTGGCCAAACGATGTATTCTTATCAAGTTAGGCTGGGAAATCTGCATGGCTACTGTGTCTGATACGAGGATATGATACAGGACTGTCGTGGAGCTCTGGGTGTCTGCGAAGTCTTATGCACAGCTGCATACGGAGATGAAAGCAGATCCTTCCCGATGGGCGAAGTTTACTTGGACGAAACACAAATATCTTGTTAGCTCCACAGATCACACCATCCCAGCTGCTCGAATATTCGACGTCATGGAATCATTTGACTATATGGACTTGAAAGGAGAGATCAATCTCAAGCATCCCGACGAGACTTTCGTCGTGATGGAAGAATGTTAGAATCGACCATCCTGGGTTACAAGTGTATCAGCTAATACAAACATTCAGATCCTCAAAAGCCATCAGGAGGAGCGTTTAGGTACTACGACGATGAGAACTTTATGCAAGTGTACTTCGGTCGGCTGGTATGAACCCACGTGCACTAGCCGTTGCCAACATTGATTCCTCCTACCAAGGTCATGAATGGTACGGCACGCAATCTTGTTGTAGAATTCGACATCAAAAAGAGGAAGTACTTCGGAAACACTAGTATGGATGCTGAAGTTTCACTTTTGATGGCAAACCAAGCACTGGTGACAGATGATCTCATATCTCGAGGATATATTCTCAGCTCTTGCAGGCCGCTCCGGGAACTTTTATATATGATCCGTTTGCCGGCACGGGCAGTATGCTCTATGTGAGGGATTGTTCTAGTCATCTGCTTCTACATATCTGACAACTACTAGACCTCAGCCTATTTTGGCGCGTATGTCTTCGGTTCTGATATAGATGGTCGACAATTGCGTGGCAAGGGTATGTCTCTTATGTTTATGTCGAGGGTTGAGTGACTTTAGTGTGTAGAGAAGGTACCCGGCATCCTGAGAAGTGCTACACAATATGGAATCGCAAACAGGCTAACAGACTGCATCGTATTCGATATTACCTGCAATCCTTGGAGATGCGGCGAAGTATTTGACGCGATAATCACGGACCCACCTTGTCAGTGCAAGCCCGCGTTATGGGAGGACGCGACTGATCAGACCCAGATGGCGTACGCGCAGGAGCGAAGCGTCTCGGGCGGAAAGAAGGACATGCCCTAAGAGAGGAAGCGAAGATACTCGAGAGTGGCGTCCCTTCACACGAGTATGTTGTTCCCTTCCACAATAATGCAATTAAGAGCCAGATTATTAGATCGCCTGACTATCGACCGCCCAGGCGACCGTACGAACTGGCAGAACTAGTTGTCGACCTTGTCACCCTTTCTCGCTATATGCTGAGACCAGGTGGTCGATTGGTGTTCTTCTTACCAACCATAACGGATGACTACCAGGAGGTTGACGTTCCTCAGGCGGAGGGCATGGAACTGGTAGCCAACTCGCTTCAGCTTTTTGGCGGTGGCGTGTGGGGACGCAGAGTAAGTTGCTGATATATCAGGCGATGTGACTGCTGAATCGAATTCTTATTAATGTTGCTCAGCTCATTACCATGGAGAAGACAACATCGGCCAAATTCCCGATGCCGACCTTTGGCCGACACGCAGCCGACGAAGAACAATCCGATGGTCAACATACTCCAGGTCACAGAGGTTTCCGCGAGAAGTATTTCGCTGGATTTCGTAGGCCAGATCATGACGGTAATGGTATATGAACGGTGTCGTGAAGATTGCTTTTGCATTCGAACTCGTGCCTTCACGGCGGGGTATCGAGACACCGTACATCCTTTGCCGACCTCAGCGCTCTGGCCCAGCCTAGCACCCAAAGCGAGCTCTGTCTATTCCCCCTCAATGCTCAACCTCTTTCTTTGAGCTGTTCGACATCATGCGTAGGTTGTCGTATGCAACATATGCGGTGAACGCAACGATAGCAGTGCCGAGACCGGGGAACAAGTTGCGGAGGTAGTAAGCGCGGGTGAAGATGTATGATTTGCGCCATGCTTCCCTCTTCGCCCATGGATCTCTGTATGAGGGATATCCTGCCATGACTGCACTGTAGATAGTTGATCAGATCGGTACACTAGAGATATTAGAATGTACAATGAACATACACAATGGTGGGCAGGGTGACGACCGCAGAGTGGCGAAATGCGGAGTGGAACCGTTTTGCGGGATGGGTCTGGGACTTTTGTTCAGGGCCGGGTTTAGTCCCGTCAAATCGAACTTTGCCGTATCGCGCGTGTCAGCACTCTGGTATAAAAGACCCAACACCAGCACAAGGGCAGTCTAAGCCCCGCATACGCCCCTGTTCTCTCTTCCCATCCGCACCTTCTTCATCCACTCCACCTTCCACCCTCTTACCTCCACCCCATCTTTACCTTCGTTCATAACTGTCGTTACTTCCTGCTGCCCATGGCTCGTCTTCCAGACTCCTCGGACTCAGAAGACGACAGACCTCTGGCGACAACAGCAAATGGTCACGCCAAGAGCAATGGTAGCAACGTTAACGGAAAGCGCCCCTTGCCTAGCTCTAGTAGCGAGCTCACCGACGATGACAAGCCTCTGGTGTGTCCTGCTATTCCTCGTCTGTAATAGCATGTAGCTCAGACGCGTCCGCATATAGGCCAAACGCGCGAAAGGGTCATTGAATGGTACCTCCGCACATGCTACAAATGGCAAGGCCTCTAAGCGAAAGGCTGCAGACTCTTCAGACGAAGATGACGACAAACCGATTGCCCAAATGACGAAGTCTATTGCTGTTCCCATGCCTGGTGCTGTTGAGAAGTCCGGTGTTGAGGATGATGTCCCCCTTGCAAAGGCCAATGGACGCGCATCCAGAGGTGGTCGAAGGCAAAGCTATAAAGAAGAGGACTATGGAGATGAGGACGAAGACGACAGCGACGAGCCTATTGCCAAACGAGCGGCGAAGAAACGGACGTCTACTGGGAAGGGGAAGCAGCCACCGAAGAAGAGGGTGAAAAAAGGTCCGGATGCGGACGCTTCCTCCGATGAGGATATTCCGCTAGCCAAACATAAGGCCGCCAAATCCAAGGCTGCACCGAAGCCCACAGAGAAGAAACGCAAGTCTGAACCCGCAACGCCCTCTGCTCAGAACGGAAGAGCACAGGTCAAGAAGGAAGAGAGTGTTTCTCCTGTTAAGCCGAGAGGAAAGACGGCGAAGAGCGAGGAGGCAGATGCCGAGGCTCAGGCCAAAGCGGAAGAGGAAGCAGAGGAGGAGGAATCCTATAAGTATTGGGAGAAATTGAATGCCGAAGGAGACGGCTCCCAGAAGTGGTCAACCCTCGAGCATAATGGCGTTCTTTTTCCGCCACCGTATCAGCCCTTGCCGTCCCACGTGAAGATGCTATATGACGGTACGCGAGTTGTCTAGTTGTCTGGTTGGGTATTTCTGACGCCTTTCTTAGGCAAAGTAGTTGAGTTGCCTCATGAGTCCGAAGAAGTCGCTGGGTTCTTTGGTGCAATGTTGGAAACACCCCACGCTCAGGATAATCAATTCCGTAACAACTTTTTCGAGGACTTTCAGGCAGTCCTGTCCAAATACCCTCCAAGGAACGGCATAAAGATCAAGAGCCTCGATGCCTGTGACTTTCGACCTATGTACGAACACTTCGAAGCCGAGCGAGCTAAGAAGAAGGCCATGTCAACAGCTGAGAAGAAGGAGACCAAAAAGGTTAAGGATGCACTGGAAGAGCCATACCTCTACTGTATGCTCGACGGACGCAAGGAGAAAGTAGGCAATTTCAGAGTCGAACCACCTGGTCTTTTCCGTGGTCGTGGTGAACATCCGAGGAAGGGCAGGCTAAAAGTGTGTTGTGGGCCAGTTTGACTTCTACTGCGGTTGCTGACGTCAAACTAGTTGCGGCTCCATCCGGAAGACATGATAATTAATATTGGAGAAGGATCGAAGATTCCTGTTCCCAACATTCCCGGTAAATGGAAAGAAGTTATTCACGATAACACGGTCACGTGGCTTGCCAATTGGAAGGAAAACATTAACGGCAACTCTAAGTACGTCTTCCTGGCCGCCGGCAGTTCTTTGAAAGGGCAAAGCGATATCGCCAAATTTGAAAAGGCTCGTGAGCTAAAGAAGCATGTCGACCGCCTTCGGAAGGACTACACCGCCGATCTCGGTAGCAAAGTTATGGCCGAACGGCAGCGAGCCACTGCCATCTACTTCATCGACAGATATGCACTCCGCGCTGGTAATGAGAAAGGCGACGAGGAAGCTGACACTGTCGGATGCTGCTCCCTGCGCTATGAACACGTGACGATGGAGAAGCCCGACAAACTTATCTTGGACTTCTTAGGCAAAGATTCGATTCGGTACTATAATGAGCTCAAGGTGGAACCTCAGATTTTCAAGAACGTTCGCATCTTCAAAGAAGGCAAGTCCGAAGGCGATGATCTATTCGATCGTGTTACGGTGCGTGGATTCGGTTGCCCCTGAAGTATTTCTGACTTGAAACTGTGCAGACTGCAAGCTTGAACAAGTATTTGCAGTCGTACATGAAGGGTTTAACGGCCAAAGTCTTCCGTACATATAATGCGTCTATCACGTGTCAGCAACTGTTGGAGAAGTTGACCGACCCGAATGCTACGGTAGCGGAGAAGATACTCTCGTTCAATCGCGCAAACCGGGAAGTGGCTATCTTGTGCAACCATCAACGCACTGTCAGCAAGGGTCATGCAACATCCATGGAAAAGATGAACGATAAAGTAGGTTTCTCGTCAGGTATTGTGGATCCCATTGCCAACCTACTTTGTTCAGCTCCGAGCCCTGAAGTACCAGAGACGGAAGCTGCGCCTTGCGTTGCTCACCCAAGAGCCTCAGCTAAAGAAGAAGAAGAAAGAACTTTTGGAAGAGGAATCCGACTTGGATGACGAATGGATTGCCAATCATGAGGATGAGTTGCGCAAGAAGGATATCGAGAAAGCTGAAAAGAAGTTTGAGAAGGAAAAGGAAAAGGCTGCCGCAGACGGCGAAGACGAGCCGAAGGCGTCTGTTCTCGAAGGTCGTCTTGAGACCATCAACGAGGAGTACGATCGTCTCAAAAAGGAACGTGGTACAAAGACTGCTGAGCTCAAGACCGCGAAGTCGTCGGAGAAGATCGAGGAGGCCATTGAAAAGCTTGATGAGCGGATCAAAAACTTCCGGTATCAAATGACTGACAGGGAGGAAGGCAAGGAAGTATCCCTAACTACCTCCAAGACCAATTACATCGACCCCCGTATCATCGCTGCATGGGCGAAGAAGCATGAGGTGCCGATTGAGAAAGTGCTTCCCAAGTCTCTGATTACTAAATGTGAGTCGACTGCCATTCATCTCTCGGTAAACGCTGACAACATGGACAGTCCCATGGGCGGTTGAAGTGGACGCGGATTACATCTTCTAGCCTGTTCGACATTCCAATCCTCTCACTTCCAGCCATCGCAACATTATCATATTTCAAGGATTCGTATCCAACCAATCACCTGCATGGCACAGGTGTTGTCCTACATCCTGTTGTCCCTCTAGACATTCGAAGAGTGTATTGTGTAGACTCATAATGCATTATCGCGAGCCAATGCCTCGCTCTATATCAATTGGTATATTACCGCAAGAAACGTTTGTACACCTCATTGTCTGTCTCCTCGACATATTCGTATTTGAGATTGTCCAGATAGTCTTGGAACTGCTCATTTTCCTCAGGGGGCACTTGTATGGCTGCCAAGATCTTGCCGACATCAGCGCCGTGATTCCGATAATGGAAGAGAGATATGTTCCAATCCACACGCAATCCTCGAAGGAATCGTCGCAATGCGCCGGGCCGCTCGGGAAATACTGGATCTACTCGTGAGTTTTTGAAAACTACCCAGATGGGGACGTGCTCACTGAATCGGAATAACCTCTCATTAGGCACTTCGCTTCTCCCACCGACCATATACCTGGCATGGCTTTTCGCCATCTCGTTGTCGCTGATATCGTCCGCTTTCATACCGAGCTTTTCGACACCCGCCAAGATCTCGGCGATCTCCTGGGTGCGGTTGGCCGGCGATGCTAAGAGGAAAGAAACGAAGATGTGTGCGTCTGGCTGGGAGGCGTAGCGGTAGGCGAATTCAGTGACTGCACGAGGGTGGAGAACTTCAATCAACGATTTGAAGCTGAGCAGGAAGGTCAAAACCCAAATGCACTAGAAAGGAAAGATGACCGACCTCCCTGGTTTCTCTGCCATCTCAACGCCTAAGAGAGCCTCCCTGCCTTCACCGAGATCAGCACGCTCTGCTACGAAGCGCAACCTGCTGAAGTTCATATTCGCCCCGCTCACTACAGCGACGAACCGCTTCCCAGAACCAACCAAGTTGTTGTCCTGGATATATCGCTTGAGACCGGCGAGGGCGAGTGCTCCAGCCGGCTCGGTTACAGAGCGAGCCTCCTCGAATACATCTTTAATCGCAGCACAGATTTCGTCGTTGTCCACTTTGACGATGTCATCCAACAGGGCTTGGCATATACGGAAAGGCTCCTCTCCAACCAGGCGAACAGCCGTGCCGTCGCTGAAGGCGCCAACCTCATTCAGCGTAACACGTTCGCCTTTCTCCAGACTTCGTGCCATTGCGTCTGCATCAACAGTCTCCACGCCAATGATCTTGGTTTTTGGGCTTGCTATACGCTTCACATATTCTGCAATGCCGCTCACAAGCCCTCCTCCGCCGATAGATGCAAAAATGCCATCCAACGTATCGCTTCGTGGGCACTGCTTCATAATTTCCAAGCCGACTGTGCCTTGGCCCGCTATGACAAGTGGGTCGTCATAGGGGGGAACGAATATCAGCCCATGAGCTTCAGTGAGGCGCGCGCATTCAGATTTGGCCTCGTCGAAGTCGACACCGTGAAGAATGACTTTTGCGCCAAGGCGTTGAACAGCTTGGACTTTGATGGCGGGTGTTGCGAGCGGCATAACGATCGTACAGGGTATATTGAGAGTCGTCCCGGAGAGAGCAACGCCTTGGGCATGGTTACCTGATAATTGTTTAATGTTACTACATTGACGGCTCCATCGCTCATGTATGCTCACCAGCACTGCATGTAATCACACCCTTCCACCTCTCCTCCTCCGACAGGTGCGCCATGAAGTTGAACGCCCCCCTGATCTTGAAACTGAACACCTCCTTCTGCAAATCTTCTCTCTTCAACCATATTTCATTTCCCAGCTTTTTCGATAGCCCCTGGGCAAAGAGAAGGGGGGTCTCAGTGATAAGGTCGTACACCTTGGAGGTGAGGATGAGTCGCAGATAATCGGGCGCGCCGGAGGGGAGAAGAGCATGCGCCGGGAGCCTGCAATATTGTTCGTTCTTTATCGGTTCCGGCGCCTTCGACGCATATTCATTTGTTGTTGATCCTGTCATTCCCAGCAGTGTTTTTCAAGAGTTGCAGTTCGTGTTTGAAAGCAAGCGAGATCTTGTGCTAAAAGTCTGGGGTTAGGCGAGTCAGGATGTCAGGACCCTGAAATAGTTTAGAAGCAGAAGTTATAATTGTCGAGTTTGCGCCAAGAGTGGCAGTGCAGGACCCTTGCGCAGCCTTAAGGCACCGGAATTTGATTCCATTAGACTATCTATGTAGCCTATATGTATATAGGGACGGATTGGCCTGTGGCAGGCCAATCCATGCCACATTATCTATTCTCCCCTAATCAATGACTCAATGGTTGATAGCAGGAAACCACGATCTGACCTCAGTCCTTCTCTTAAAGAAACTTGGCAACAATGACCACACCCACTCAACCTGCATCAGCTCCTCCAGACTCACCTCAGAGCACCATTGTCCTGACACATATTGAAGATCATGCCACAGTTGGCCAATGTCCACCAACACCTCACCCGAATACATCCTCTGCTGCAGAGGCAGCGCACCAAGCTGCTGGTACAGCCATCTCCATGGCTGAAGACCAGGCAAGCTTGGTGCAGTTGATTTGGGATCTGGTACAGCAAATGGTTCTGCTCTCCCAGTCTCATGAAGGGCCACTGAGTACAGAAGTTGTTGGGCAAGAACAGCAATTTGACTTCAACCACCTTCTGGCTGGCTGGAAGGATGCCCCTCACTTTGAAGGCCTTACCTCTGAGAACATAGGAGTCTGGCTTCAGGCTATGGAAGATGGCATGGAACTCCATTGGGTTCCCTCAGAATGGAAGGTCAATATCACTTGGTCATTTTGCAGTGTGGGTGTCTGTTAGGGCAACACAGGCTGACTAAGTCTGCTCACCTAAGAGTGCCAAGAGTCTAAGCAGGCAACAAGGAAGTGGAGTAGACCTGATGACTAAGACCTATCTACAGTATAGGTATCTGTGGATGATCCTAAGAGACCAAGTCTGAAGAGACAGTCCCAGGCAGAGTAGGCCTTATATTTATACCTCTGTGGTGGAACCTGCTAGAACATCTTGCTTACTCAGCCTAGTCAGGTGATCAGGTCATATGACCAAGGATGAGGTCATATGAGGTCATGCACAGCCATGCACAGCAGGTCACCTGACCATCCAATCCTTCCAGCAGGTTCCAGCACATGCCAAGGTATACCAGCTACTTCCATGTCATAAAGGCTTAGTCATGTCTCTTGACCAACCAATGAGCTGGTGCCCTGACATCACCCCCCCTTCTAGACATGCTGTCCCAGCATGTTGATACTCCTTCTTCTGCTTTTCCCTTCTTCTTTCCAGATGTCCAATCAAAGAGAACCCTTTTAGGTGGTATAGTATAGTTGATGAGTGGTTGGAAGTGAAGCCTATCAAAGGTGATGGCTGAAATCCTTCTGGGAGCAGAGGGGTAAAGCCTATGGAAATCTGCAATAGC